GACGCCTTCCTCCCTCCGGCGGGTCCGCGGTCTGCCGGGTCGACCTGCCCCGGGGAGGGGGCGCGGCACGGAGAGGCCGGGACGCTTCCATCCTCGCTTTGCAGAGGGGACAGGGAGGCCGGAGAGCCTTGCCCAGCGCAACCAGCGGTCGGGTCCCCTGGCGGTCAGCCGGCCCCACACCCTCATCCATCACCCAGCTTACCCCTGGTCTCTGAGCTGAACGCCCTTCTAGAACATACGCAGAAAGGAGGGCAGGCAGAGACGTGCCATCTGGAGCCACTGAGATTCGCCTCTCCTTCCCTGGATTCGGAGCCGGGGCGACCTGTCACCCGACACCCGGATGCCTGTACCGGGGCACCGGGGGCTCTGATATCCAGTCAGAGATGCCGGCCCTTAGCCCAGATGGGGGAGAGGAGGCGAGGCGGTGGAGGCGAGACCCGCTGGGAAGGCGAAGGAAGACCTGAAACCATCCTTCACGCCAGCACTCCAAGCCTCCGCTCTGACATCACCTCCTCAGCATGGCCTTCTTTCCAGCAAGCCTTTCAGTGCCTCTGAAGTGCCAAGGTGCTGGAGAGGCTGTACCGAGCCAGACAGAAGTCTGGAACCTCACAGCACTTTAGCCCGGGCTGGGAGTCGATGCTTGTGTTTGTAGTAATGAAATGGTTTTCTCCCCCTCCAGGCTCTGTATTCCCTGGGGGGCTATGCCCATTTGCTCACTAGGGCCTCCCAGAGTGTTTGGCACATAGCTGTTAGGTGAATGAGCAGCCTCAGGCAGGGAGAAGGAGGGAGACAGACCAGACCGTCCTTCCCTGGGGCCTCAGTTTCCCAACGAAGTTAAGCCTAAATGCCAAAGAGGACGGATGGGTTTGAGGATGAACCCCTGTACACACCCTGCTTGGCCAGCCCCTGCACCCCCCTTGCTGCCACCCCTCCCTCACAGCCCATCTGGCTCCCCAGGAGCCGAGATAATCTTCCCATCTGTGACACTCTTTGCTTCGGGATGATGCAAACATTATCCCACTTAGTCACCTCAACAGCCCTGAGAGCTGGGCGGGTGGTCCCCCATTTTTCAGATAAGGAAGCTGAGGCTGAGAGAGATGAAATGACTCAAGTGACTGCCCAAACCGCATGGCCCTGTCTCCAGTGACCTTGGCCCCTGGCTCATGACTTTTCCGCTGGCTGATTCGGGGAGCACACCCAGGAGGGACCAGCAAAGAGGTAGGGTTGCTGTGGGCACCTGTAAAATCTCACCTCTGAGCAAGATTTATGTTTGGCTCTGCCCTCTTTAGAAATTCAAGCCCTCCTGGGAGGATGAACCCTTTAAGGCGCTAACTCCTTCTGAATCCCTTTACAGAATCTCATTGTCATGTACTTAGCTGAGCCCAGGAGAAGGAAAAGGTGAGAGAGCAGACAGGAGAGGTAGAACCCCCCCCACACACACATACACCCCCTCTCTCACCGAGGGGCTCAGTCCTCCTGGAGGGAACCAGAAGTGCTGAGGGGTCGCAGGCCAGTCTCCCATTCTCCCTCTCTGGTCTCGAATATCCATCCGCATGTGGCTGAAGGTACCTGCCTCACTAACTCATTCACGAGGGTCAATGGATCGACAGTGGCAAGAGGGCTTGGCAAACGGCCCAGACCGTTCCACAGCCAGGACCAGGGCTGCCAAAAAGGCCACCTGTGCTGCACCAGGCTCCATCCTTCCTCTTTGCCGCCCCCCAGGCCGGGCTCCACTGGCCTCGCCCTCTGACTTCCTGGCGAGGCTGAGTGCGCCCCGGCTAGGAAAGGGCCAGCTGGCCTTGTTGGCTGGGGTGCTAATCCCCTCCAGATGGGCCGGTGGCGTGCACTGAGGGCCTGGCTGCCCAGACGGAGCGGACTCTGGTCCCGGTGCCTGCGTGTGATGGTGTACAGGGAGTGACTCCAGCTCGTCTCCCGGCTCCTTCGCCCCACGGCTGACATCTCCCACCGGTCGCGGCCCATCTGGCCTCCTGCAGTAGCCTCTTTGGTTATCTGTGTTGCTTGGCTGGGGGGCTATGAGGAAGCCCAGGACCAGCAGCCCCTGAAGGCCCCAGAGAGGCAGCTCCTACCCCCCACCGCCTCCTCCCATCAGCCCCATCACTCTGCCTTTCCCAAAGCCTGCTTCCCAGTTACCCCCACCCGCACCCCATGGAAGCTAGAAGGGGTTTCTGGAGCCTCTGAAGATGTTCGTACCAAGGACGGGACTCAGAGTGTCTCCCAACACTGAGGGAGCAGAGGAAGTCACAGGAAGCCACTGGCTTTCTCTGCAGCAAGGACTCACATAGATTTGGGGAAGGACCTCCAACCCAACGGATGCTCCAAGTGAAAGAGAACTCTCCCTAGATCAGTTTGTATGAAAGCAAACGGATAGACAATATGACCTGTGGGGAGGCTTGGCTTCCATCCCTGTGAGGCTGAGGCTGGATGGATACCCCATTAGAAATGTCTCAGGCCTGATAACGGCAGTTCCCACGGTGCACCAGGGCATAGGCAAATGCCACCATTCCGTGAAATATAAAGCATCTCCTGCCCCTTCCCCAGCTCAAAACAAGGAGCTGATGGGGAGGGGAGGGCAGGTCCCCTTCTTAACCTCTCGTGACAACGAGGACGGCGCATTCCCCCTCCTGGGTCAGTCCACAGCCCCACACCCATCCCTGGTCATCTTCACTTGATGTAATCTCCTGACCCCAGTTTCGTTCAGGCTGCAGTGACCATGGGTGGGGGCAAGGTCAGGCTGGTGACCTCTGGAAGAAAAGGGAGGAATGAGAGAGGCCGGGGGGACTCCCGGAGGAGGGGCCTGGACTGCTGGTGCCAGGTCGGAGGATCCTCCCTCACAAGCAAGGCTGAGGCCTGAGGTAGCCACGGGATGCTGTTAGGTTTATTCCAGGGTGAGCAGGTGCCAGTGGGGGGGCAGCGAGGATGGCCGAGTTCACCCTGGGGTGCCCAGGGATGGCCATGGACTCTGCAGGGCCCTGCAGGGCCTGAGTCTCTCTGATCACCCGGGAAGCTCCGCCTTCTGCCCCAACCCAAGGGGGTTTGGACAGTCACGGATGTAGCAGTTTTCGCAGTTCGCAGGGGTCCGTGACAGGCATGGAGCAGGCTTGATTCTCACACACGTAGGCCGTGGCCCGGTCTTCCAGCCGCCGTAGGGTACTCAGGAAAGGCAGCTGGCGGGACAGGAAGCTCGACGGGTCCCCATCGGCCAGAATCAGCACCTAGGGCAGCGGCAGAGCAGAGAGGGTCACCTGGGGGCGCTGGCCAGGTCCCAAGGGGGGCCATCTCTCCCCAAGCCTTGGAGTAGAGGGAGGGGCTGGGAACCGAGGAGGGGAGGGCAGCTCCGGGGTGGTGGCGGCCGGGCTCACGGGGCAGGCACCTTGTTGGGGATGTAGACAGAGTGGACACATTGCACCAGGGCCCTGGTGTCCTTGGCCTGGCGGTCTCCACAGATCACAATCTGGCCGGAACAGAAGGGTTGCTCTGGGGTGTCAGGTGAAGGAGGCACCCAGCCCCCGATCACCAGGGCATCCCCATCCTCCCCCCACTACCCTCTACCCCTAAGAAGGAAGGGAGACTTATTGCAGCCGCCAGGTGGCTGCATGGGATTTAGTGCTTGGTAGGTGGGAACACACACACGCGCGCACGCACACACACACACACACAAGTGAGATTATACACGGTGGCAATGTCAGGGATAGTAGCAGAGACACAAACACGGAAGATACACACCCAGAAGACCCACAGAGATCCATCCAGAGAGACAGAGCAGCCAGTCTACACACAGCACATGTCCACGGAGAGGGGGGTACCACGCGTGCAAACACCAGACACACACACCCAATCCACACACGCAGGCACATACTGGTGCACACCCACAGCAACATACCGCCGAGAGGCTCAGACACACAACTCCAAAGCCACACACACAGCACACCAGAAATGACGACGCTGATACACACACACATGCAGCAAAACACTCTGTTAGCCCCAGAGATCCATATTCAGCCCCTGCCCCGGTACTCAGTGGTCCTGGGGGAGACGAGCACACAGGCACCTGTCTGGTCCAGAGGCCTGTGCCCTCAGACACACACGCTCCCACAGACACCCCCCCTGCAGAGAGCAGAGACCTGCCTACACGCACGTGCACACACACACACGTGCACACACACAGAGACCTGAGCTCGGGGCGCAGCCTGGGAAGCCCCACCCCACGTTCCCAGCCCTCACGGCAGCCCCAACACCCTCCCTACCCGGCGTCCCTGCCCAGGTGCCTTCACGCCCACCTGCTTGAGGGTCTGCTGGTGGACCGAGAGGGCACGGATCATCTCTGGCAATGCCACCGGGACGCGGCGCATGCGCTCGGAGAAGGCGGTCAGCAAGCACACACACTTGGTCATCCAGTCCTTGTGACCCGTGTAGCCGTGCAGCCGAAGCAGGTTGTGGGCCGCCACGGAATTGGCGCTGGGCTCGGCGCCATCCTGGTCTGCAGCATGCGGGCAGGTGAGGGAGGGGACAGGTCACTGGGTCCCAGGACCTGCCACAGGACTGTGTCCAGGGTCACGGGGGGACGCGACAGAGAAGATGCCCTGCCCACTCTGGTCCTCCCGGGTCTGAGAGTCAAATGCCAGCTCAAGCAGTTGTCATACTTTGCTCTGCCTGGTTTTTTTTTGTTTTTTTTTTTGAGTTGGGAACCTCACTCTTGCCCAGGCTGGAGTGCAGTGGCACGATCATGGCTCACCACAGCCTCGACCTCCTGGACTGAGGTGATCCTCCTGCCTCAGCCTCCCGAATAGCTGGGACTTAGGCGTGCGCCACCACACCCAACTAATTTATTTTATTTTATGTTTTGTAGAGACAAAGTCTCGCTATGTCTGGAACTCCCGGGCTCAGGTGATCCTCCCACCTCAGCCTCCCAAAATGCTGGGATTGCAGGCATGAGCCACTGCGCCCAGGCCATACTTTGCTCTCTTGAGGGCACCCTCAGCTCTAGCTGCCTCAGCTGAACTGTCAGCTCTCAGGCTCCTGCCTCGCTGCTGATACCCCCGTGCAGCCACTCAGCTGCTCCAGCCAGAGCAGCACCATCCTTGCCCCCTTCCTCTCTCTCCCTCACTCCCCGCCTCCAGTCCATCTGGGAGTCCTGCCTGGGGCTGCCGCCAGAACAGAACCACCTCTCCACCTCTCGTGTCCACTGCGGTCCGAGCCTGCCCCAGTGCCTGTCCGACTGGGCACCCCCGACGGCCCCTTAACTGGGCACCCTCTTTCCCCCACCACCTCCCTTCTCCGCCAGTGGTCAGAGTGACCACCTACAACCTAACCAGAGAGGTCACAGTCCCATTAAAACCTCCTGGCCCTGTCCACCCCTGGGCCCTGCCTCTCCATCTTTCCCGCCCCCTCCCTTCCCCAGCCCCTCCATGCCCACATAGCCCCTCCCACCCTCCAGGCTTGGGTGCAATGACAGCTGTCACAGGTGTACTCTGATCTCCCTCAGGCTGAGCTGGGCCCCCAAGCCTCTTCCATTCGCTCAGCTAACATTATTGAGCACGTAGCTACTCTCTGCCAGGACCCCACTAGACCCCGAGGACAGAGCAGTGACAGAGAGAGCTGCTCTTGGAGGAGTCGAAACTGGAATGGGGGAGAGAGACTGTTAGTCTCAGAGCAGACACGTGGGTGACCAGGGGACAGGAACGGGGCAGAGGCTCCTGCTTCCTCACGGCCTCACCGCAGGTGTAGCCACTTGGAGGCGTGGGCATTTCTGCATTATTCCTGATCGGTGGCTGTCTCCCCTGCTGTACGGTGAGCTTCAGGAGGGCAGGGACCCAGCCAGCCTTGTTCATATCTGAATCCAGGGGTGCCCGTTACTATGCTAAGCGTGTTCCCAGAACAGCGATACTAATCTTTATGTCAGCCCTGCAAGGTAGGGTTGATGTTAGCTCTGTTTTTCCTATCAAGAAACTGAGACTCAGAAATAGGAGAACAGCCCAAAGTCCCCCGGTTGAGAAGTCGCAGAGCCGGAACGCCGGGAGGGCTCTCCATCACCACGCTGCGCGGACACCTCCCTCGAGGAAACCACCCTCCGGTGAGGTCCAAGACCCAAGGCCGGGCCCACACCCCACTGACCGTCCTTCAGACGCAGGGGCAGGCCTGCCCCCAGCTCGGCCTCACTGCAGAAGTAGCCGCCACCCTGGGCGTCCCAGAAGAGCCTGTCCTGCGTGTCCTGCAGCCGCAGAGCCCACTCGAGCCACGCGCTCTCCTGAGAGGCCTCGTACAGGTCGAGCAGGCCCCGCACCACGAAGGCGTAGTCCTCCAGGAAGCCCCAGCAGGGTGAGTTGCTGGGAGGACGGGCATTAGGGGAGGGGCTGGGCACAGGCGCCGGGGAGAGGGCTTTGCCCAGAGGGACCCCCTTTGGGGCACTCATTCCACGAACCCTCCTGGGTAGGTGCCACCGGCCCATCTCCCAAAGGCGTCAACGGATGCGGGGAGCTCACAGATCCCAGCAGAGCCAGGACTGAGGGGAGATACGGGGCAGAGGGCGGCCGGGGACATGCAGGGAGATGAGCCTGGCGGGTCTGCGCAGCCCCCACCTGTGCTCCACAGAGCCCCCGGAGCTGGTATAGCAGGTCCGCATCAGGCGGCCGCTGGCCACATCAAACATGTGCCGCTTCAGGAACTTGGCCCCGTTGGTGGCGTGGCTGACCAGCTTGTCCAGGCCCAGGACAGCTCCGGTCACGGCATAGCCAGATACCATCAGGCCTGCAGGCAGGAGAGACCAATGGCGGTGAGGGGCGGGCCAGGGCCCCCCAGCCACACGGGCCCCACACCTCGGCCCTGACACCTCTCTGGAGTCTCAGGGGACCCTCAGAGTGTGGGCTCCAGAGCCAGGCGGAGTGGGTTTCCCGCTGTGTGTGTGGCCTCAGGCAGGTGACGTAAGTGCACTAAACCTCTGCCTGTCTGTCTGTTGGGGACAATACACCCAACACGGGCACAATCCGCATTTAGCAGGTGCCTGACGGACACCAGGGGCCTGGGGAAGGGCCGCCCTGATGCTGGCCCGGGCCGCGGCATGCCCCACCATTCCACGCAGCCAGCATCTTGCTGTCCAGGGACGGCTTGGGCCGGTGCTTCCGGGCCTGGAAGAGCTTCTCTAGCCCGGTGTTGAGCGTGGTCTGCACAGCCTCCACATCCAAGCCGAAGCGGGCAGCGGTCAGCTCCAGCGAGTACCGGACAGTCAGCACATTCTGGCCCTGCAGCTCTCCCTTGGGGTCCTGGGAGAAACAGCCTTGGTCAGGGGATTAGGGTTAGGGTTAGAGTTAGGGTTAGGGTACGCCCCCCCCAGCGCCCAACATCCTCACCTGGCTGGGGCTGATGTTGCCGGCCTCTGTGAGGCCGTAGTGCTTCACCAGGAGCTGGCCCGAGGTCAGTGGCTCCGTGGCGCTCGGCACGGGCTCAGGGAGCAGCTGCTGGACCTCTTTGACAGTCCACACGTAGAAGGCGCCTTCTCTGGGCCGTGCACCCCGCTCAGGGGGCGAGTCTGCGTCCTCCGCGCTGTGGAAGCCTCCAGACTGTAGGCAGGAGAGAGCTGGTTGACGGCCCGGAGGTCCCGACCCCTCCCGCAGCCAGGCCCGCCTGCCCCGGTGAACACATACCCGGTGGCACAGACTCCGACTCACGTACCGCAGGATGCCTTTGGCAACGTCGGCGTAGAACTCGTCGCCAGAGATCTGAGAGGAGGCAGAAAGGAGACTGTGAACAGAGGTCTCTGGGGCGGCCTGGGTACAAGGGTGGGGACAGGGGGCATTCTCCCAGGAAGGTGGGAGAGGGAAGCCTGGGGAGTGGATTTGAGGGAACGAGGGGTTTCCAGAAGGGGAGCCGCTGTCACTGGGGCCGGGTGGCCGTTCTTGGGCTGGGGTCAGGGGTCACCTGGAAGGCCTGTGAATAAGCCACCGCGAGCTGCGCCTGGTCATACAGCATTTTCTCGAAGTGGGGGACGTGCCACTGGCGGTCCGTGGAGTAGCGGTGAAAGCCCTGTGCCCGGTGGGATGCAAAGCTGGAGGCCGACCCCAGCCCCGGCCCACGCCCGGCTTCTGTTGCCCCGCCGTCCTGCCCGGGAACGCCTGGCTCCCCTCACCTGCCCCACGTGGTCCCGGATGCCCCCGTTGGCCATCATCTTCAGGGTGTGCAAGGCCATCTGCTGGGCCCGAGAGCCGTCCTGGGTCAGTCGGTGGCTGAGCCAGTAGGAGAACAGGAAGTTCAGGATCACTGCGGGCACCAAGAGCACGGGTGAGGGTGGGGGAAGGGGCCGCAGCCAGGTGGGGCTGTGAGGTCACCGGGCAGGCTGGGAGTCCGGAGGTCAACAGTCAACCCAGAGACTGGAAGGTCACACCGAAGCCAGAGGTCAGAACACCACTGGCCCACAGAGGACGGAAAGTCACCGATCAGACCAGAGTCCAGAAAGCCAGCGGTCAAGGGTCAGAAGGATCCTTTCCTAGGTCGAGCTCAGACCAGCCGTCAGGTCTTCACTAGGCAGCTGCTGGCGGGCCAGGGGTAAGGAGGTCACTGGCCAGGCAGGAGGACACGAGGCTAAGGACGGGGCCAGGCCTGGGTCATGGGGAAGGGGTGTGGACTGACCCGGCGCAGGAAACTTGGGGGCCTCCGCGAAGCCACCATACTCCTCGTCGTAGCTCTCATCCAGCTGCTGGAAGCAGCGGCTGTTCATGGTGGCGGCAGAGGGCGGCAGCTGGCGGTCCCCCATGCTGATCTCCGACCGGGCCAGCAGGGCACTCGCGACACGCTGGCTGTTTTCTAGCAGGGTGCTCTTGTTCTGTTTCCACTGCGGGAGGCGAGGCGCGCCTGGAGGTCAGCATGGCGGAGGGGGCCTCGCTTCCCCGCCCCGACCTCGGCCGCCCCACTCCCCAACGCGCACCCACCTGCTCCCGGATTCTCAGCAACACCGTGCGGAAGCCAACTTGGGTCAGGCCATCCTCGGGGGGGAAGTAGGTGCCCCCCACAAACGGCTGGAGGTCGGGCGTCAACCAGACGTTCATGGGCCAGCCCCCACCACTGCTGGTGGCCTGACGGAGGGGGTGGGGGTGAGGGGAGCCGTCCCCCGAGCGCATGCCTCACACGCCCCCATGGGAGGCCCGCTCACCTGCACGAACGTCATGTACACCTTGTCCACGTCCGGCCGCTCCTCGCGGTCGACCTTGATGCTGACAAAGTCTTCGCCCAGCAGCCGGCCGATCTCCTCGTTCTGGAAGGACTCCTCCTCCATGAGGTGGCACCAGTGGCAGGTGGAGTAGCCCACTGGAATAGGGCCACGAGGCGAGGCCGG